GGCTTTGTCCCTTTCAATCGACTCACTCGCCGGGCTCTGAATCGACTCATGGACACAAGGACACTATACAAAGCCGGCCTAAGCGGCAACAGCCGAATGACATTTAAATATACCGTTCACGACCTCTCGCTTCCATACACCACAGTCCAGGAATTCATCGACTACGTGGCAGACAACCTCGAAATATGGCCACTCTGGCTGTGCCCCCTGCGTGCCACTGAAACCGTCGGCTTCCACCCCTACACGATGGAGCCTGGAGGAGAGACGCCGCAACCGATGCTCAATGTGGGTGTGTGGGGAGCATCGTCAAAGAAGATTGATAGGTTCGTCCGTCAGAACCGAGATCTCGAGGCGAAGGTCATGGAGCTAGGCGGGCGCAAGGTGTTATACTCTCACGCGTACTACACCGAGTCGCAATTCTGGGACGTGTACGATAAAGATTGGTATACAAAACTGCGAGATCGGTACAGCGCGACGAGTTTACCGACGGTTTATGACAAGATTACGGTTGATGTGAGCAAGGAACGGAGGAGAAAGTCATTGAAAGACAGGCTGGCGATCACGTGGCCGGTTGCTGGCCTCGTCGGTGTTTGGTCTGCAATACGGAAGTGAGAGCAGAATGCTTTATACGGCCGATCAGGGAATGGTGGTCCGATGTCTATGGGTCATGTTCATTATGCGGTGTCATTGTTTGAATGTTTGTAATGAGTTATGAGAGCATGATGCCATGACGGTGCGGAATGTCTATGTCGATGTGGTTAATCCGTGTTCTTTTGGCGTCAAATATTCTGCATCCTGCATACTGAGCGGAGTTCGGGTTATTCTTCTGATACTTGTCACATTTCGGATTCTGCTGTCGGTAGTAACTTTAGCATCAAGACTTTGTGTTGCGCGTCATGTTCTGGAACTTGTTGGGATCATGCATGTGTCAATAATGCTGTTGATATTCGCAAGTCTGCGGCTGTCAAATTGTCACAAGATATCAAACCTCTACTGCTGGCCCATGATCTCCATATATCGGATCTCTGCTAAACCACGGTACCTCAGCAATGGCATCAATCTTTCCTTCTTCGCCCCTTTTGCCGTAGCACATATCCCAGTGGCAGCCTTTGGGATAACTTCCGACCATCTCGAATCCACTGCCAAAATCATCCAGCAAGCGGTGAGAAACGCCGGCCGGTACAATGATGACATCGCCCTTCTCAACTACAGGCTCGATCCGGCCTTCATTATCTTCGCCCCCAAAACAAAGCTTAGCGCGCCCATGGCTAATGCTCAGAACTTCGTGTGTTGTACTGTGAAAGTGGCTCGTGCTGTACATGGTATATCGCCATTGCGGCTCGACGACACCAAGGGAGGTAAGGCGAGATTCGATGGCTGATACACTCGTTGACGAAAAGGCGGAGTGATAGATCAATAGGGGTTTGTTTTGGATGCTTGTGTTTGGGAACAGTCCATGTGCCGGGATGAGGTGCTTGGACACGCGCAGTGATGCCAAGGGCGCCAGGCTGGCTTTGGAGCCCATGATCGTGTGTTCGAGCGTGGATCTCTTCTTTGGGTATGTTTGTTGGTGAATATCTGTAGGGCAAGCTGTGATACTCGGCCACAGACCTATCTTGGGTAGAAGGGGAAAGAAGCTGTAAGTCGACATGTGTAAATAAGTTGAGAATGGGGTGAAGAAATATTGACGTCATACCCGGCGTGACCGCTCATCATTGCTTAATCTATTCTCATTATTATCATAAGTCTATTCTTTCCGCGCCCGGGCAGAGTCTTTTAGCACACGACGAAATATCCTCTTGTCCTGGTCAATTGAGCCCACCGTGCATTTGACAACTTTACGTGGAGGAACAACACGCCTCAAGACCAGTGCCAACCATATGTCCTTCATTACAGATCCTTCAGGAACTTCACGTTTCTTTCCAAGCCGATGCAATAGCGTTCCAGTACTGGTCAGGATGCATCCGCATATGCCCAACATGGCCACTGCCATCGAAACGCACCGCATCATAGGCGTAGCCCTTGCCCTTCGACTCGGCCATATTCTCCTCGATATCCTCCCAGCCAATGAGCGGATCCTCCTTGCTATACAGATACAGTTTGCGGGATCTCTTGGAAACATACTTTGTGTCGCCAATGGCCGCGACGCTGAAGACAGGCGCGCTTTCCCGGCCGGTGAGGTGCTCGAAGCTGTGATTCAGAAGGAGGAATACGCCCATGATGCACTGTGTCACAACGAACGGCCAGGGAAACCAACCAGCGGTGCCAAGGGTCATGGCCAGAGACCAGCGCTTGAGGTTGTTCCAGGTCATGATCACGCTGCCGGGTGTCGAGTCGTAGCTAGACAGGCGGTGCGGCATGGGGCGACCGAATCTCTCTTGGTAGGCGTGCAGCGTTCCAGCGTAGTTGATGCCGCCCGTGTTGGACATGACATGCATGAGGACCGCATCTTCGTTGGGGTCTGGTGTTCCGGACGTTGTCGAGGGATAGGCGGCTTCGATGATGGGATTCATGTTGTTGGAGCGGGTCTGAAGGTCCTCTCTCATGGCTTTGACAATGGGCGAAAGCACGGCGATCTGTTTTGCGTGCGGAAAGAGTGTGCGGAATCCATCGGCGTATTTGGAGACGTGTTTTGGTATGGCGTCGCCCCAGCTGTAAATGATGACGACCCTTGGGTGATCTGCTGATGGCTGCGTGCCCTCTGTTACTGGTTCACCTTCGCGAAAGAAAATCTGGTCGGTGATGGCCGTGAAGCCTGGGAACGGGTCTGATTTCGGTGCCATTTTGAGGGCTTCTTGGGGCGTGCACCACGAGCAATGAGATAAACTAAGAGTGAGATAATAAACGAGCAGACGTAAGCTTTGGTGAGAAAAGTTGAGCAAAGGACCTGGGCATCAGCTGTACATTCGCGAGGAGGGAGCATCAGCGTTCATATTTTGAACGTCAGATCCATTTTCTGATGACTGATCTCATCTCGGCGATAAAATCTTATCAAAGGCCCGGAGACTCGGTAGGCGTCCTGCGGCCACGCCGTTGTTGGGACGCGCCGTGGACCCAGGAACCTAACTGTTGGGACTCGCATCGGAGCAGTAGCCTGAAAACCGTACGACGGCCGGCGTTGGGCATAGTCCACGGAGGATCCGTTACTCTAATCTGGCGTGCCTGAGAGGATCGCATTGCGCGTTGTGTGGCGCCTCAAATCTCACACCAGTCATGGACTCATGGCGCCGCCCTGTGTGGGCTTCTTAGGGGGCTTTCAGTTTCGAGTGTGAGCCACTGAGGGTGAGAGTGAGACTCATCTCACTCACGCTAAATACTCAAAAGTGAGCTTGGCGGCGTGCGCTGACGGCTCCCACAGGTCCACTTACCGAGGCTAAAGCAATTGCTGTTTAGAAGGGGCCGGACGCCCAAGGTCCTGGAGCGTTGTCCAGATTGAGCGGGCTTGAGTCAGGTGACATGTGCAAAGCCGAGGCTCACTCAGGAACGGGTTCGGTTTGAACTCCGCCCGCCCTCTCTGATCTTAGAGATGGACAAAGTGAGAGCCAACAAGCGTTCGAGAACCGGACCCACATTGTCGATACCCCAGAAGCTTCCCCGGATTCCAGCGACTCGACGATAGTTCAGCTTCATCCAAGTTCTTTTCGTGTATTACTGATCCTAAACTCAGATACATCCTCCATCTATTGAACGGCCTTATCGACTTAATGACCGGTGGTGTTGCAAAGGCTAATCAGCATCCCTGTAATTGAGCCTCTTGGCGAAGAGGACGAGACTTTGACCCTTGAAATCAGCGGGATCCTGTCGATATCATGACGTCTGAGGAGCTTGTAACATTCTCAAGTGCTACGACGATAACAAAACTCGGTCCCAATGTGTACGGAGCAGAATTGGTTCCCAGCTGGTGCACCGGCTCAGGTCAGTCGCTTGTTCTCTACGCCCATTGGGCTCATCATTGACAGCGCGCAGTTCCGAATGGCGGTTACGTCGCATCGGTGATTCTCCGTGCGACATCGCAGCACCTTACAACACGCGGACAACCCGACTCCATTTCGGCGCATTTCGAGTACGTCAATCGCACGGAGATTGGTCCTGCAATTCTCATTGTCGATGAAGTCAAGCTCGGCCGCAATCTTTCAACGTTGCACGTCTCCCTCTATCAACATGATCTCCAATCATCAGCTCCCTGGTTTACGCCGTCTTCCAGAAAAGAGGTCGTCGCCTACTTGATCAATACGCGCTTAACTGTCGAGAAGGGCCTGACGCTAGAGAGTGGCTGGGCAATGACTCCGCCAGCCAAGACCGCCAATCTCTCCCTCCTCGGTCAGGATAAGGACCCCCACTGGGTACGCAAGCTAAAGCTGAATGCTCGCGCGACGTCCTACGCCCGCGCTCACAACAATCTCGAGTACTACGTTCCGCGCGAGGACTCACGCCGTGGAATCGTCGATCTCTGGTTGCGGCTGAAAGACGGCCAGAGGTTTACGAATGCATCGCTCGGTTATGTTGTGGACGCGTATCCGACAGTAATAGAGGCATGGAGACCGAAGCGCGACGAGGAACAGACACCTTTTCGGTCGAATGAGATGTTTTGGTACCCTACCCTTGCTCTGAATCTGGACGTGAAGAAGGCTTTGCCGGAGGAGGGAGCCGAGTGGCTCTTCCTTCGGACAATGGCAAAGGTCATCCGAAATGGCAGACTAGATCTTGAGGTTATTGTTCTAGATCAGGGTGGAGATGTTGTCGCTCTGAGTACTCATGTGAACATGGTTTTGCCCGCTGAGAGGAACTTGAAAGAAAGGAGTCACTCGAAAGCCAAGATTTAGATGCAAGGCCTAGACGTATACTCGACCTGATATGGTTCAGTTCATTTTTTCAAGGGCATTATGTATCAGATCTCATATCCTATGTACATGTCCATAATACCCCTAACCCATCATGTTTTGCGTCATTCAGACGTGCTTGGTTCAAGGCGCTAGTTGAGGCGTGAAGCCGACCGCAAACTATTGCACCTTCCCTCTGGAGTCAACCGACCAGATTTCTTCGATAACCCCATTACGATGGGCGTAATACCAGTCGTGCAGGTTAATCGTTGGATCAATGTGACTGGGAACCATTTCAACCCGATCTCCCACCGTCAAGGCGGGAGTTTCCTCCTCCCAACTAAGCGAACCATGCTCGTCTCCCAGGTTGGCGTGGGTATAGCGTCGGTCTTTGCATTCAGCAAGTCCGCTGTCCGTCGTCAACGACTTCAGCCCCGTATCAATCGTCACTTGCCGCTCGCCCTGCTTGCTGACAACGGTCGCTAACAGCGTTAAGCTATTGGAGTAGAACGAGCCGACGGCGTTGCGATAGTCCGTATCCATGAAGATGAAGGATCCCGGCTGCAATTCCGTGACTCCTGGAACCGTAACGCAGAATTCAGCGGTGCCTGTGCCGCCGGTTGTGACCACCTCGATGCCGAAACCTGCTTTCCGAAGCGCTTCTGCCGTCTCGGTCAGCGTCTTCATGGACTCGAGGCACTGCCTCTTTCGGTCCTCCCGGTCGTGGAGGTGCTGCAGGTGGCCCTCATATCCCTGCACACCAATCAGGTTGAGATGCTTGAGATTTCCAATGTGTCTCGCCAGAGCCATGGCAGGCTCGCCTGCGGTCACGCCAGTCCGATGCAGTCCAACATCCAAGTCAATCAGTGTGAGAATAGGCTCCTCGACACCGGCCTCCTCCAACGCGTCGTTGATTGCCGTTGCACCAACTTCGCTATCGACTACGATTCTAATTTTCTTGTTCTTCTTAAATAGTTCAACAAGACGCTTCACTTTCGGTCTGCCAATGATTTCGCACGTAATGAGGATGTCGTCGAAGCCCGCCGCCGTGATGGCTTCTGCTTCTGACACTTTGGCCACACAGCAGCCTTTGGCACCGGCGGCAGCAAGCTTTCCGGCAAGAGCTGCACTCTTTGTTGTCTTGAGGTGAGGGCGGATGTTGACTCCGGTGGGTAGTAGGCTGTCGAATAGCTTCTTGATGTTTGCTTCCATGAGGTCGAGATCCACGATCATGGAAGGTGTGTCTAGGCTGTCTAGCCCGTCTCCCACATTGACAGTGTACATTTTGGCGACGATTTTGGGTTGTTGAGATGAGAATACATGACGTGAACAGGTTTTCAATGCCAAAGAGGAAGTGAACACGGGAATCCAAGATCCCGCATAAGATCGGCTGCGGGGTCGGCAACCCCAGAGCGAGATAAGACGATTCGGAGTGGATCTCCGGCGTCGGAAACGGCGTGACTAATCAGTCTGTGTACTGTTGTCCGCGGAATAATACCTCGAGCAAGATTTGATCGACGTGTTCATTTCCCTGCTGAAATACGCTCGAGTATGGAAATGGAAGGAAGTTGAACTATCAGGCATGGCACTGCTCTGCATCTCGGTCAACATGTATGTCTCACAGCGCACATGAACACACCATAATTGAGCTGCCAACGCACGTGCGCCTTGGGCTTTTTGGCGCCTAGACACGGGAACCGGCAAGTTGCGCTTGAACGATGGATCTTTTGCCCGGCTCGGCACATCTGCAGGTTCAATAGAGGTTGGCTTCAGCTAACAACCGATGCAGGGTTGCATCACTCATGCAGCACTGTTCATAATCAGCACTATACTTATCCGTCCTACTCAAAGCAGCATTCAAGGGCTGATCACGCGTTGCCGATAGGCCATCGATGAGGGGAATGTTGTACAATGGGTATAAGACAGCAGTCAGAGTAGGACTGGGAACTTGCTGCATAGCAGACCAGACAAATGAGACGAATGAGGTGGCTATGATATGAAAGCATATGATCTTGCTCTAAGACAGCTCATGACTGAGGTAGAGGAAAATGAAAGAGATCTGCAAATCTGGCTGTTATAGAATATTTGTATATATATCCCACGTGCCTATTTGAGTCTATGGTAACAACCTAAGCATGCACAACATCTTATCGAACCTTCTCACCAAACCCCCCGTGACTATGGTGCTACTTGATGCGCCAGAGCTTTCGCTAGCCTCGACCGGGGCTTTTTTGTCTATCGCGACAATTTCGACACTAATTTTACGAATCTTCTATAATTTGTACTTACACCCCTTATCCAACTATCATGGCCCATGGTATGCGGCTTCATTCTCACTTTGCTCCGCTGTCATATCTGTATTTGGGCTTGAGCCACATTGGTTGCTGTACCTGGCCAAAAAATATGGATGTGAGTTGTTGCCCGTCTTGTTCTTTCATCTGAGATTACCACGAGATTCACTAGCTAGTGTCCCGTCCAATCTTTTGAAAAGTGATAGACTAGTACTAACTGATCGGCGAAGTTGAGAAGCCTATCCGCATAGCACCATCGCTTCTGCTTTTTCCTCAATCCAAGGCTGTCAAGGATATCTACTGGGATTCGAAATGCAATAACAAAGCTTCCCTTTACGGTTCCGGTGCACTTGGCCCACCGCACCTATTCTCGACCATTGATGGGAGTGTGCATAAGTCCTTGAGAAAAGCCCTCGGCGGTCCATCGGTATGTCTCTGCAACAGTTCTACGCTGTTAGTTGCATCCTCGGCGCGCCTTTGACTAATACTGAACTGTCCAGTGGTCCGTAGGTGGATTGAAGAACAATTGGGAACCACGAATAGACGCACACATTCAACTTTTTGTGCAACGGATGACCGAATTTGCCGAGAAAAATCAGGCAGTTATTCTCTCCGACAAAGTAGCGTGAGTATTGACATGCTCTTAGCAAAGATGCAAAAAACCTTGTGACAAGGCTAACCTCATCTAAGAGAGTTCGCGGCCGATATCATGACGCTAGTCTGTTTCACCAACCCCTGGGGCTTCGTCGACAACAGTCGTGACGAGCGCAACATGCTCAAAAGTTGGCGAGAGGGATTAGTCTTCTTCGGGTTTGCAGGTCGTTTCCGCTTCTTTCGGGATGTGATTCTGAAAGGCTCGCTGGGTAAATATTTTCTACCAGAGACAAGCGATGACAACGGCATGGGATACTTGATGAGGCAAGCAGACAGGGAGGTCTCTGGTCGGGAGCAGCGCATGTCGCAAGAGGACTTTTCCCAGGAAAGACCAGACTTTTTGCAACTGTTCGTCACATCAAACCCCTGCGTGTCATCAAGGCGCAATACTAACCTGGTTATAGGTGCCTCGAGGCACGGATGGACGGAAAGCCATTGACGGCGATGCAGAAGCGCGCGCACGTAACGCTGCTCATTCAAGCCGGCGCGGATACGACCGGAACGGCGCTCGGCAGTACCATCCGATTCCTTCTGACCCATCCGGCCGTGTTCGCACGCGTAAGAGCCGAGTTGGCAGCTGCCGCCGACGCCAAACTTCTCAGCACACCCATTCAATTCGAAGAGACAAGGGCACACTTGCCCTACTTTGTGGCATGTATCAAGGAGTCTCTGAGACTTCACCCGCCCGCGACGAACTTGTTCGGCAGAGTGGCGCCGTCCCCGGATGGTAAAGTCGTGGACGGTACCTGGGTACCCGCTGGCGCAGAAATTACGAGCAATTCGTACGTCGTTCAACGGGACCCTCATCTGTATGCCCCGGACCCAGAGGTATATCGACCAGAGCGGTGGCTTGAGGACGAGGGAAATTCCAAGGAGCATATCAGCGAGATGGATGCTTCTGCTTTTGTGTTTGGCGTTGGGCCTAGAGTCTGTCTAGGAAAAGACCTTGCCATCATGGAGTTGTACAAGCTGCTCCCAGAGACTTTTCGGCAGTTTGACTTTGATATGAAGGAAGAGGGAGAGTTTGTGGTTGTCGGGGGTATTGCCTACAACGAACGGTTTGTTGTTCAGCTGAAGCCGCGAAAGGAATAGTCCTCGTTGAAATTTTTCGTTTCTTCAACTTGTTCCTTTTTTCTTTTGAGGCATCTGGTTGCCACGGCCAAGTTAGTAGGCTAAAGGGATCTCAGTAGTATGGTAACCTTGCCTGATGACAACGCTGCACAGATTCCTGAGACGACGATAATCAGTGTCTACAATACCGTGTTACAAGTTGTGGCTTGAGGGAAGTTATCAACTAATTGGTTCATATGTTGATGCAACGCCGGTCAATGTCTCCGTCATCGAGCAACCGACGATAAGCGATGACAAGGAAACGGGCAACTCTGCCAATAAAGACGTTTTCCGCGCTGAATCCTTGCCGGCGCCGGAGCGGGGAGATGCCCCACAGCTGTCTAGCGCCGCTTTCGGCTATCTCGGTCGCACTGATTCCTCCTCTCTCAGGCGTCCTTTCTGGACAGTGTAGCCCATGTCAACAAGTCGACTCCGACTGGTCCGCGGGAAAGTGGCAGGGTTCGGAGAAAATCATGCTGTCTCTTCAGTTGCTGGCAGTCTCTCTAGAAGCATAACGTTGCAGCACGCATACTTCCATACTGTAGACAGGCACCATGGATTATTCGTTACAGAACCACCGCTCCTTTATTGGCTCCAAGGTCACTGACCTGCCTACGCCCTCTTTTGTTCTCAGCTTGCCAACCATCAAGAAGAATATTGAGAGGCTGCATCAGGATGTCGAGAAGGCCGGAGTCACACTTAGACCTCATGTTAAGACCCTCAAGGTAGGAAATTGACATATTTTCCCACTCCGACATATTTGAGGTCATGACTGACTGACTCGCAGAGTCTGGAAGTCACGCGGTTGATGCTGGGAAATGGCAAGTACAAGAGAGTTGTGGCATCAACACTGTCAGAAATCCGTGGATTATTGCCATTGGCAGAAGAGGGCATTCTCGAGGAGGTTTGTTATGAGTTGCCAGTAAAGATACACAAGGACTCGCAGAACTGAGGCATTTTCTTTTAGGTTCTGTATGGGCTGCCGCCCCCAGCAAGCACCATCCATCTGCTGGAAGATCTACGAAAGTCCACCAACGTCCAGCTCATGATCGACCATGAAAAGCAGCTCACAATCGTAGAGAAATTTGCCGCCAAGAACACGGAAAGCACAATCCAACCCTGGGACATCTACATCAAGCTCGATGTGGGTAGCAAGCGCGCCGGTCTTCCCCTGGGCAGCGATCGTCTTACAAAGTTGATTCAACACGTCAACAACTCACCAGCCGTCACTCTCAAGGGTTTCTACTGCCATGCAGGCCACTCTTATGGGTGCCGGACACCACAAGAAGTGGAGGATCTCCTTACGGTCGAAATCAACAGTGTCCTGAGCGCTGCGAAGCTGGTCACTGGTGACAGAAAACTCACTCTATCTGTGGGCGCTACACCGACGGCTCATGTTGTTGGCACTCTTAAGGCAGCGATCCCCGAGAACGTCACCTTGGAGTTGCACGCCGGTATGTACTTCTCGCTAATTTGACCGCAGAGGCGAGACACGATTAACACGAGGGTTTCTTAGGGAACTTCCCAACAAACGATCTCCAACAGGTCGCAACCAGCGTCATTGGAGCCGAAGACCAGGCCATCCGCGTCCTCTCCGAAGTCTGCAGCGTGTACCCGGAGCGCAACGAGGCTCTCATCAACGCCGGGACAATCGCCTTGTCAAAGGAAGCTGGCCCGGACCCAGGCTACGGCAAGGTTGTCGGCAAGCCTGACTGGGCTGTTGTCCGAATGTCTCAGGAACACGGTATCCTGGGTGAAGTTCAGGCACCGGGCTCAAAGACTACTGAGCCAGAGCGCAGAGATGTGGAAGCGAATTTCGATGTTGGCGATAAGGTGTTCCTCAATGTCCAGCATGCCTGCATTACTGCTGCGGCCTTTTATGTTTACTACGTTGTAGATGAGAATGATGTTGTGGTAGATACCTGGGTTCCGTGGAAGGGGTGGTAATGGTGAAAAGTTTGACAGTTTAGTCAAATAGTAGAAGCTTTAGTCCCTCATACCTTACTATAAAGAAAATATTCGTGGTATCATATTCGCCCGCTCTTGATGAGACCCGTCCATAAATGTACACACATGTTGATCGAAAAATGTTCTCTGGTTCCGCCAGTCGCCGCCATTTTTCGTTCGTTCTCACGCTCGCTGGCCCCTTAAACACCGCCGCTATTCATATCAATCATGTCCCCAGTCCATCTACGCAAATGAAATCCAAATCTGATTCTCGTTCATGACCCGACAAACCTGCCAAGGACCTGCCCCAATATCCGCTGGAATGACCTCGTTGTGGTCCCACAGGTGCTGCAGTACGACTGAGGTTTGTCGGATGTTACCCAGACCAATGGTGGCAAACATATGGCCCAACCTCTCATGCAGGAATTCTTGTTGTCCCCTATCTGTGACGCACGAACCGATAATGGTGATGGGCCAGCATAGACTAGTGTTTATGCGGACGCTAGGATCTAGTTGTGCTAGATGTGAGAGAGCTCCGCTGAGGGCGTTTTGGATAGCCATTGCCTGGAGGCCGTGCTCTTCTCGAGAGAGTGTATGTAATGCCGTGTGCAGATAGAGCAACAAGGCTTTCTGGTATATATATCCAGCCAAGGCAACATTCTCAGTCACCATGGGGTTTGGCTGCCAGTTGAGGATCTGGCTTTGTAGTTGTGAGAACAGAATAAAGTCATCGGCTGATGGGCGCCAATCCGGCTCGTCCATGTGGCTCATTATCCGCCGTCCCAGGTCGAAGATCGAAGGCACCAGCAGGATCAGATCTAGCCAGCATCCGCATAGACTACCTATGTAAGAGGATGCCACGAGCTCAGTGGCGAGGAGAATGAGATCGTTGCTGAGGAATAGTTGATCACCAAGTCTTGCGTCTATGGATATCATGCTGACGGTCGCCGTGTAGATGTAGTATTCGGTCAAGAAGTCTTTCAAAGTCTTGTGTAGAAAGGTGTTGTTCGCAGATAAGAAGGGCAAGATCAAGGACTGGGCTGCCATGAGATGGTCGAAGATGGTTCCATTCACGTCACCTTTGGCAGTCTACAAGGGGTATCAATATCACGGTGAACTCAATTCCGAGCGTGACAGTGCAACATACCTCGACCAAGCACAGAATCAGGGCACCAATGCCCAGGATCAGCGTTTCTTCACCATGCTGTCCGCCCATGTACGTCGAGATGTTTTGCTGAAAGAGTCGTAGCGACTGATTGTAGTATTTGGTTGCAATATGGTCCGTCGGAACTAAAGACTTTGCTGCTCGGTGAACGGCACTCTGCGTAAGGAGTAAATGTAAGACGAGATCGCTGCTGAATGCTAAAGGAATCAACTGCGCGGTGAAAGGGTTGTCTGCCGTGGATCCATTGGCCATACTGAGCGATGTCGCGCTGAGGTAGTGACTGAGAAGCTCGAGTGAGTTGCTATCCTGATTGCCGGCCAGGAGGTTCATTGACCTCGGTACATGGTGATCTCTGAATATCGACATTGGCTGAACTGGCGAGTGCACCATCTGATCCGTAGTCTCGCCATCGTCCGGGTCCTCCGTGTTAAAGACCGAAAAGGCGGAAGGGTCTTGAAGTCCGATGGCAGCCGCTGTGTGCTCTTCTGGCGTCTGGGGAGGGACGATGATTCCGCCGCTCTGATCTGTCGTGACGATCTGGGTTGCCGGGCTTGGACTCGAGTCTGTTGTGGCTGCACTTGGTGATTCCGAGGATTGGATATGTGATGCAAAAGAGAAGTTGACTGAACGATCTGGGAGATGCTGGGGACTCTGGGATGCCACCGTGGACCCTGATGGTGAAGGAGCAGTAGGCTGAACATCGTCCTGCCGCGTGCTCTCTGGCGAATTTCCTACCTCGCGGGGTGAGCGCGAGGTGCCGCCGCTTTGGGTAGCTTGAGAGGAAGAGGCAGCGGCGGTGGCCTGGGATGAGGACGTTGGGGGCCAGCGGCACTCTAGGCGGTTCCGCTCACAACCGCGACACCGCGGCTTGGTCTCGTCGCACTTCTTCTTGCGACCGCGGCACGTCAGGCACCCCGTACGGACGCGGAAGATTGGCCCCGCAAGGGTACGGCGGGGTTTCGTTGACATGGCTGAGAGAGCCGGCCGGGCCCGTTGAAGTGAGTGAGTGACGAAGGGAGGGAGAGAGAGGGGAAAGACAAAGCGCCAAGAAAGCCCGAAAGTTGAACCGTCCTCCGATAGAAGGGGAGAGCGAATGAGGCAAAGTTCTAGACCAATCCCAATGGAACGGGCAGCAGAAGAAGCGAATGCTTGTGTGTTAGATGTGATAGACTGATCTTTGCATGAACAGTTGACACGGAGTTGGAATGTCGAATGGACTGCCTCCGCGTGGGCCAGATAAGGAAAATTTGCCGGGGTCGTGTGAAGGTGCACTATTCGTGTCTCGAGCGCGGTCCGCCGGATCCGCCCGACCCACTTACTTCACCGGTGCCAGCGCGGTAAAGAACCGGATTGGCCACCCCGCATCCTCCTTGTCTCGGCCGGGTTACCCTGACGAGGCCTAGTCGGCACTTTGTCATCGTCCTCACCCCTCTTCAGCCTCAATGAACTCGGATAGGGTGTTGGGAGTTATCAAGTATCAGATCTTTGAAAATTTCCCCAGCTGACCCACCTACCATTGGAGGACAACTGTAATTTTTGCAACGGGCCTAATGGTTTGTACATTCAATGAATAGGGCGCATACTGTCCTCCGTACGTAGGCAGGGTACTATTATAAGGAAGTGCCTGTCTACCCATTTTAAGCATCGTGTCTATCCGCAAAAATATCGATATCGCATCTAGCTACCCACCTATTCAAATCTACCCGTCAAGGCGTCAACGGTGTAGTGGGCCTAGATCTCTGGAAAATTCGATCACGGTCTCGTAGACAGAAATTTCTCGTGGTCAATTCAACATCTTTCGCATGCCTAAGTACCCAGCTTCAATGCCGGAGAACTGCCTGTGATCCATCAACCATTCTGCCTTGACTCTCGCACGAAACCTTTTCATCTCCCTGATCTTGCGAGAATATTAGTTGGCTTTTCTAATCGCATATGATAGCTTCTTGGTTTTGTATATTTGGGAGGACTAGAAATCAGGTATGCATACTGCAGGGCAAGGGTAAATTGATAATGCTGTTGGTGCAATTCGGATTCGTTGTACCATACATCTCTTGTCTTCATGGGATGATATGGATTCAAAATAATTTCCTGCTCAGTGGGGGTTCAAGACTGGCTGACTGAGAGGCGACCAATTTAATCCGGCTCTCGCAACTATCACATGTAATGAACATTCCAATTTGCAATGGGTTAATTAGCCATCGTGGTGATCTGCAGAAAGCACCTAAATTAAGTAGTCAATAGATCAGCATTCTTATCATCACTTACAAAAGTTGTTTGTATCAATTTAAATGAGCTCCTAGAGCTTGTATAATTTTAGTACTCTATCTAAACTACTAGGTGCAGATGATCGGGCATCGAAACAATCTCCAAATCGCAAAACAACTATTTGGTATGACAAACCTGCTCCATAACAAGGCCAACTAAGTAACTAAGTCACCAACCCTTCGTATCAAAAGGTAAACTAGGCACTAAATATGCCAACTCGCGTGCATACGATGTGCGTGCTGGGAAATGATTCGTCTTTTCAATGCCCATGCTCTTCCATGTCGAGATTATCAGTCTGAACTGGTTTCAGGAACCATTCGAACCTTTAACATATGGTATACTGTAATTGTATAGTCGCGGGTGGGTGTTGTAGTATGGATCAAATGTTAACAAGGCAAAGCCTGGGTCGCCCGCAGCAATATTGTTTGGCCAACAAGTATTGAGCTCCAGACCATCGTTCGCCGGTGGGTTGGCAGCATTCCCCCATTTGTTAATGGTAAATTCTGGCCGAACTGTAGCCGTGATAGCGGCCTGAGTTCTTGTCACGCCGCCTTGTATGATGGTCTTCCTGTTGGGATCGGCATCGACTTTGGCCTTGAATTCGGAGTCCTTCATGTCTTCGATGGCGGCACCAAGACATATTCCTTTCCACATATGTCCTGCTCCTCGATTCATTCCTCCTGGGATTAGACGAATTAGTTGTCCCTGTGCATTTTTACCAGAATTGAGGCGGGCTGGGTCCTGTAGTCCTAGAAGATATGCAGGTGGGTATTCGTCTTTGTCGCAATCTACCTTATTAGGGTTCGATTTGACTTCATCCAGCCATCTATCACCTTTATGTTGCTTCTGGAAGGCTGGCACAGCTTCTGCATCTAAGCGCCACGCCGTTGCCGCGGCTTCAGGCGGACAAGTTAGAGTAGCCCATTGCGGATTGACCTTGATAGCCGAACTATAATGGAAGCAAGCTTGAGACCATTTTTGGCTACATTCTCTCTCCACAACAGTCGGCTTGGCGTTGGGTGCGTAGACAACCGATGTTACAACTAAATCATTTTTCCTTGTCGCATCGTTGACACAAGATTGTATCCTCAATGTGTTTTTAGCAGCCCCAAGTCGCATGGTTGATTTTGCTAGTGGAACCCTGCACTTCCGCCCCTTTTAGATCTTTCTATCAGTGGGGTTATTATCGTGTCACGAGTTATAGCACGCAGTAATGGGCATACGGAGTGTAGTAAAAGTAGCTTAACTATTAAAATAGAAATAGATAAAAAAAAAAGGTCTATATATATAATATCTAAAATAAATACGTAATTTAGTACGTAATAAGCACTTTATAAAGTACGATTACTATCCCTATTACGTAATATACCCCCTAATTACTATTATTAAAGAGCTATTATACTTAAAATAGAATTTCTAAATACCCTTATAAAGGCCTAATTTAGTTAAATATAAATAAAAGAAAAATAAGTATAAAGGATACGTATTTTTTTAAACTACGTTTATTATAAATATATCCCTTTATTTAAAATAAATAAAATCCTAACTTAGAATAGTACGTATTATATTATTTTTAATATATAAATTATTAAAAATAAGGCTACTTAGCTACTTTATATATATCTAAATTCTTATAACGTTACTTAGTTATTATTTTTTTTTTCTTTTTAATTTCTTATAATTATTATAAGTACTCTTATTTATTACGCGCGTATACTTACGCTATTAAATCGTTTACTAATTTTATTTTAAATATAAATATCTAATATATTTAAAAATAATAATAAGTTTTATATAATTTTTATAATACCTTTTATATATATATTATATAGTTTATTAAAAGTTTAAATAAGTAATAATATTAATAAGCCCCTTTAAATTATTTCTCCCCTTTATAACCTCCTATTTACTTATTAAAGCCTAATTACTAAGCTTTCCCTCCCTAACTAAGAGAATATCGAAGTTATTAATTAAAATACTAAGGATTTTATTAAGTTTAAAGCTCTTTTTAATAGTTATAATAAGGGTAATAATAAAATAAATAATAATAATAAAAGCTTTAATAAGCTTTTACTTATCCCCCCCTTAAAATTTAAAAATAAAAATAAAATTAGTTTAAATAATAAGCCCTTTAAAAAGGGTATATTATATACTTATTATTTTAAAAGTTTATATTTAATATTATTTTAAAGTTTAAAAAATATAAAACTAGCTCTTTTTAAAAAAGTAATAAAAAATAAAAAAAAACGCTAAGAAATAAAAGTACCCCCCGTAATAAATATAGTTCTTTTTATTATTTTAGGCCTATTTAATATATACTTAGTCCTTAAAAAGCTTAAAAAAAAAGCTCTTAAAAAACGAGAGATTTAGTACTTATCTTATTTTAAAATAGCCCTTTAATATACCGACTTTAAAAATAATAATTATTATTTTATAAAAAGTAATAATTAGTATATATATTATTTTAATAGCCGTTCGGCCGAGGAGTATATTAATATATTAGTTATTTTATAATTAATAACCTAGGCTCTTATTAAAGTTATTATAAATACTACTCCCTTTTTTATAAGTATATTATTCTTTTTTATTATTGAAAAGCGTATTTCTAACTATAGTTTTAATAAAATATTACTAAGTTTTATAATATTATCCGCTAAATAGTTAATAACTAGAGGATATATAAGAACTATATTAGCTTTTATATAAAGGACTTTTTTAATTTATATCCCTAGTCCTTTTTCGTACTTATTATAATTATTTATAACTAACCTCTTATTATATTACTTATTTTTATACCCTAAGTTATTAACTTAACGATCGTTTTAGCTCCTATACCCCTCGCTACTTTTACTATTCTTAGTTTTATAAACTTTGAAGTACGTAAAATACGTTTTTTAATACGCATACTAACTCTCCTCTTTAATAATACTATATTCTTAATAATTATATACTTTATAAACTAAGAGTTTAAATAATAAATATAAGCCCGGGTCTTATTTTTATATATATATACTTTATAAAATAAAGTTATTTTAAAAGTTTAGGTTTTTAAGTTATAAAAAGTTTTTATTTTATTTATTTTAAGCTTTTAAGCTATACTTTAAGTTTTATTTATTATTTATTTTTAAATATTAAGCTTTTTTAAATATAGCCTAAATTAATTATTTTTAATTATTTTAGTTATTTATAATAGCTTTTTATATATTATAAAAGTTAAGAAGTATATAGAAATATTTAAACTTAGCTCGTAAAAAGTTTTTAATAAGTCTATTTATTAATATATTTTTTATTAATATATAAATAATTTCGAAACTATTTTTAATATACTCTTATCTTAGCTATATATTTTATATATTAATATAATAAAGTTAAGTAATTATTTTTTTTTCTTTATAACGAGTTAAATCGTTTACTAATTATCGTAATTAAGTAACTATACTTTTCTTAAGTTAAAAGTAATATTTTTAAAAAAGTATTTTAAAATTATAATCTTTTTTATAATTTCTTTAAAATAAAAAAGCTTAGCTTTAGTAATTAACGTCGTAATTATTACTTAGCGTATTAATTTTTATTAAATTAGGCTATTAAAAAAAATATTATATATCCTTAAGATAATTGTTATATTATTTTGTTATTTATAAAGCTAGTATTTCTAGCTAAAAATAATAATTACGTACTTAGTATATTACTATAGTAGAGTATAAAATATTTTATTATATAAAAATATCGGATATAGTAGTTAATTATTTTAATATAGGTTATGCTTAGGTTAGTTAAGAACTATAATAATTATAAATAAGTAAAAGTAATATCTAGTTTAATTATAATAGTTATATAAAGCATATTCCTAACTTTCTCTTAATAACTCTTTATTTCCTTTTTTATTACTTATCCCTCGTTTAGTTTAAACTCTTCTTAAGGAAGAGGGGTAGCTAAATATAATAAATTTATAAAATTAAAACGCTTAATAACTCGCTTAATATATATATTATAAATAAAATAAACTTTATAAAAAGGGAATTAATATACCGGCGTTATAAATTAATATACTAGCGTCGCTCTTATACTAGTATCGCTATTCTACTTTTTAATTAGTTTAAAAAAATAGTACCTCTTTATAAAAATAGTAAGAATAACTATACTAATATAGCTATTCTTACTATCCTCTCTAACCTAAGCTCTAATTTAAAATTTCTAAAAATAAGAATACTACTATAACCCACGTACTCGTTTAGAACTACTATATTACTTATTTAAGATTTATAAATCTTAAATTAGCTAATAATATAAGCTTTTATAAATTTTAAATAAGCAAGGCTTCTTCTTACTATATACCTAAGATATATAAAAAATAAATTATAATAACGTCTACTTAATTACATTTTTTAATATAGTTATAATAATTTATTATTATTATAAACTACTTCTTATTAGCTCCGTTTTTTTTAAATACTAAGCTATATTAGCTATTTACTTATATAATTCCCTATTATCCTCCCCCTATTAAAAACGCTAAACTAGCTCCTTATTTATTATTAAAATAAGCTTAATATCTAGCTTTAACTTAGCTAACTTATTTTTTTTATAAACTTAGCTAGCGTTAACTTATTTTTATTCTTAAATAAGCGGCCTCGCTTCTTATTACTTGCGCCTTAGCTATTATAAATAGTACGGGCTTAACTAATTAACTAGTCTTTTTTAAATAAAGTTAGTTATAATAGAATAAGCTATATTATATTCTTTAGCTTATTATAGAGGGATATAATAATTTTAGGGTTAAGGATTTAATAATATAAATTTAAAAAAGACGTTTTTTAAAAACGTTACTAAGGGTATACTTCTTATTTATTAAAAATAGCTAAATTTAATATTTTAAAGTAGATCTTATAGTAGTATAGGATACTTAGCTTAATTAAAATAGTATAGTTTAAATTATAAAATCTAAGGGGGTCTAAGAATAGCTTCTTACTAAATAGTATTACCTTCTTTATAAGCCGGCTTTATATCCTAATTAAAATAAGATATTTTAAAAAAAGTATTATTTAAAGTTCGCTTAAGTACTTAAAGCGAGTACTTATATACTCCTAGCTTATAAGTACCTCGTTTTTTATATAAGCTTAGTAAAAGCGTAGTTCTTAATTATTAATTATATCCTATATAACGTCGATAAGCTAATATAAGTAACTAAAACTATTTAAAAAATAACCCTTAATATTATTATTACTTAACTTAGTACTAAAAGTAATATAAGTACTAAAGTTCTAGTATTTTTAAATAAAATAACGAGCTTACTATGCTCTTAAAAGTAAGTATATTACGTAGAGGTATTAAAAAATTAGGTATTAGTTATTAAACTCTTTATAGAGCTTAGTCTAGGCTTTTTTAAAAGTATACTTAGTCTTAGTAAAAATAATAAGCTTTTATATTATAAAGACCTTATAATACGTATAAAAGGGGGGCTTATTAATAAGTATATTAATATAAGCCTTATCCTTATTACTTAGCGTAACTATTATTTATATTAGTAACTAATAACCCTCGTTATTAGACCTATTACTATTACTACTATAATTACGGTCCTTAACCTACTTCTATTTAGCCTTAAGTATAATATTAAAGTTAATATAGTAAATATAGAGTTATTATTAAACGTCCGGGAATTACTTATTTAGTATAACCTTTATTTATTTATTATAATTTATAATAATAATAGTAGGGTAACGGACTAAGTATTAGTTTATAAGTTAGCGGATATTTATTAAAAGAAATTAAAAACCCTCTAGTTTTTTATTATTAATAAGGCCGAACGCAGCGTTATAAATAGATTTAAAGTAAGTTTATTTAATAGTTTAAAAAAGAGGGAGCTTAAAGTAATTAGTATTATAAGTATTATTAAAGCTAATTACCTTAAGGAATCGCTTTTATATTTAAAAATAATAAAAAAAGGTTTAAATAAGGCTAATAAAGCGGTTTAGCTCGTTATTTACTTATTTTATTATATATAAGATATCTCGCTTATTAAATAGCTTAATTAATACTATAATTAGTAAGTATTTAACTAGTTTTTCTTAGTTTATACGAGCCCTAGCGTTATAAATATCTCGCTAAGTAAATAAGGA